TATATACATGGATAGTTTTACAGTAAAAAGGGTTAACCTTTTTCAGTCTAAATTACATAATAGATACCACATTAAACATTTTTGCTTAAAGTTTTAGAAGAATATTTATGAGTTTTATCACCTCTATATAAGGGTTTATGTTAGAATGGGTAAGTACCACCCAATTATTAGAGCTCATAAGCCCTCTCTTTAGTGATTCTAGATTCTGATCCCCTGTGAGTTGTTGACTCACTTCTCAACCTCTGGCCAGACCTTCTTGTACCTCCATAATCCCAGCTGGAAAATTAGGTAAACTAAAAACATGATCTCATCAACAACAGATGCTTCATCTGAGCAGTGCTTTCCCAAGTAAACAGATTACAGAGCTTCTTGTGACATTTTTGTAGGATGTGGTATCATGTCCCCTTGACCGTTGGTCAGCTTGGGATCAGGAGAGAACTTGAAATTCTCTTTAATTTGCAGGCTGATGTTTAGCAAAACACCCAATTTCCTTCCTGTGGTTAATGTTGCCCAGTAATACCTGAGTTTTAAAAGAAGGTGACCCAACAGCTCACGTTAATGTGTCTTGGATAGGGATGTAAAGTAGTTAGTAGAGTGCTTCCTTTGCATTCACGAGGTCTTGGGTTAACCCTCCAACAGTGAATAAACCAGGTATGGTGGTGTACACATATAAATCCAACACTCAAGATTTACAGGCAAGAGGATCAGAAGTTCAAGGCCAATTTGGGATACTTTAGACCCTGTGTGCCTTTACCTGTGTGTATGTTAGAACAGATTTTCTAACTCCAGATTCACCTAGCAATTTAAGAAGGTGAGAATGACTGTCTTTAGATCTGCATTTGGAATCTCAAAGGGGAAATTTATTTAATAAGCTGCCACCCACTCGACAAGTTTTAAAGAGGATCTTAAACTAGAAAAGTGATTAGGTGACCAATTAGTTGCTGTATCTCAACTAACAGTATAAGTCAGACTCTGGACCTTATTGACTTTGATTTGATATAATGTACCATTAAACTCATTTCCTTGGTATATTTCAAGTAAATTCTTTCCTGATGCTATTATGGTATTTGGGCATGCATTAGCAGAATTCCTGTTATGACATAATTTAATACCCATTTCAAACAGACTAATGTTTGCTAACAAAGCACTTAGAATTGACACTGTGACTTGCTAATGATTTCAACCAGCAAAATATTGTTCTAAGGTATAGGAACACCTCACATTTTGACAACAGGTTATTCAGTAACATTATTTCTCAAATTTTACTCACGTTTCATCTGTTAGTCTCTCTCTCTCTCTCTCTCTCAAACTGTTATTTAATATACAAATAACCTGGCCGTTAAGTAAATCCATTATATAAAAATATTTGGTCCTTAGTTGCTTCAAGATCTCAGGTGAGAAATCTTCAACTCTGTCATCAAAAATCAAAGACTAACTTACAAAGGTAGTATTGTGCATAAAGTTGCTCAAAGCAGTTTCTTTTCAGTGTTTCACATGTCTACTGATTACAAATGGTGCTAACTACAAATGCTAGCATTTTCCTTAAGCAAGACTTGAGTATCTCTAATATAACCCAAAACGGTAAATGGCTACTTCTTAATCTGTCTCTACCTTTTTGTTCACTAGTTTTGTTACCCTGTTTAACTAGGAGAGCTCCCTCAAAAATATTTCTTTAGCCTACCAAATTGCTTCGTGTAATCCCTACCCTTCAATGCCGATTCTCTAACTCTTGAGAGGGAAATATTTTTCTACTTCTCCAAGGGGAAGAATTGCCTTTTTATGTGAGTCTGTGGATCCCATCCCCTGTCTTCTCTAAGACCTCCTCCCTGCACTGTATCTGTTGTTCTATGATGCTCAAAAGCTCATCAGAAAATTCATTGTGATAAGAGGAGTTACTGTAGGCACTATAACATTGACTCCAGCACCTCCACAGATTCATTATGCAGTGTTTAACCCTCTATGTCATGACTATACAAATCCATCTGCTGTTAATATGTCTGGGGCTGCTTGCTACAGAAATTCTTCACCTCCAATCCACACAGTTCTTTTTAAGCATCTCTATGGATGATTTACCAACAAGCTTTTTCTGAAGAAGCAGATATCTGAAAATCTAAAATCTGCCTTTGTCAATCAGATCAGTATGCAATTGAATTTCCTTCCCAACTCTTTGAAATACATAGATGTCAGTTGTGATGTTATAAATTTCCTAGATTCCAGAGTTGAAATATAATTCTTCACTTTCTCTCCTGTAAGCACCTCATGCTTCTGAATGCCGCTTACCATTTTCCATTCTCTGAGATATTGGCAAATATCAGGCGGGCAGTAAAGATCTTCACATAACTGACTACAGACAGGCATTTTAAAACACTACTGCCTTGCTGTTCGTGAACTTTAGTATGTGTGTCACGTCTTCGCTGAAGAGCATCCAAACACCCCTCACATTGATCGTCCTTTTCCATTCCTGTCCAGAGCCCTGGAGAAAATCACAAGGACTGTCTCACTGTGCCCTGGTTCCAGCCACTCTGGAACTGGCCACCTGTTAGTGGGATTGCTTAAACAGCCTTCCAGTAGTACAACTCTCACTGCCCTTAAGATAACATGTCTTTCCCAGGAAGGTCTTCTTCAACAGAGGACCAAATGTCTGTCTCAAAAGGTCAGTTTCTCAGTTAACCCTTGAGCGGTATATTTCTGCCTGATTTGAGGACTCTTTCAAAATACATATCTCCCCTTTAGTTCTAGCAAAGGTGGAGCTAAGATTTGTGTGTGCTAAGAATGGCAGTCTTTCCTGGTGTAACTACTTATCTGTGTCTCTGGTGGCAATTAAGTTAGATGGATAAATTTAGGGACAATGAAAATCATAACACGATGAAATAACGTGCTAAATAATTTGTCAAACCATGAAAACTATTTTAAAATAAACTACCTGGGTTGACATATCTAAAACATTTAAGCTTATACGAGTTACCTCTGTATGTGAAAGAAACAAAATCAAGATACTCTCACCAGACCCTCAAAGTGAATTTGATGTTTGTCATATGTACTATATGTTAAACCAGAAATCTAAAATACACCCTCCAAATGAAGTGAAAATGCCTTTGGAAAGTACTATTTTTAACAATTTAGAAGAAAAGACTAAGGCTCCATTAAACATGTATGAATATCTTAGGAAATTGAATGCAAAAAACACATACTGTTAAATCTAAAACATGGATTTGAATAAATATCCAGTTACAGAGATTTCACTGGACACTTCGCCTCTTTCTTTTCTTATGCCACAGTAAAACATTCCAGTATGAAGTTTCCAAGCATACCCCAGCCTGTTAACTGCTGAAGCTTCTACCCTGGAAAAGTTCAGGAATTACAGAGTGGATTCCCAACAAGTGTTTGATAGACTAAGTAACTTTCAGTAATCTTAACAAAAATGTTTTCTACGCATGTGATGTCACTAAAAAATCTCAGCATACACTCAGAAATTGGAGAGGCCTCTGCCGGGCTTCCTTCATTGTTTGCGATGTCCTTCATAGATTATGGACTCTTCTGCTACTCATGAAACCCGCCATGAATTGCAATGGAAGGGCTTTCCATAGAAATTTGCTTGTCTAGTAAATGTTGGTGAAGTTAGTAATCAAATAAATAGCATGAATATGTGGAGACTTGGAAGGTCACTTAGCCCTAGTCACTTCATGTCGGGCACAAGAGCAGTCAGCTGCTCAGTGAGCAAACTTGTTATGAGGTGTCAGTGATTTCATAAGTTGGCTTGAAGTTGTTAGAATGTGGTATGAAAGATTTCATCTCTGTTGAATTTTACTGCTGTGCATTGACTGGACTCTCAGTAGGATAGCTAGATTTTCTACATTGCTATTCCCAAGGAAAAAGTGACCAATTTACTACACTATCTTCTACATGCGCTCAGGGTTTATATGATTCCAGAAAGCTTTGCTTAAACACCACAAGGATGGGCTACTGCCTCTTAGTTTCTATAAAACACTCAAACTGCTTACCTGAATTATTTTAAAATGCTTTTAGTTTTTTACAGTAATGTCAATGCATGCCTTAGGCCAGAGGAAAATTGCTGTTAGGTGGTAAGGAGCAATTTTACTCAGATTATAAAAATATGGTGATACACCCTGTGAAATGATGCTTGGATAAATAGAAGGACATTGGTGGAGGCTGGGACTGCAAGCAACAACACCTCCTGGCCTAGTACCTTTGAACCAGCACCCATCTGTTACCTGTTTCCTCATCTACCTCTAGCATTCCATAATGACCATGATGATGTTTTAGGCATGCTGAAATAGAGATGAGAGTATTTTCAAATCAGCTCTTTGTGAGATTAATAAATATCTGCAGTTTAGCACAGGACTATAATAAATGGAAACATGAACAGGCCTGTATTTCATTCATTTAGAAGGTTCCTAATGCCCCTCAACTTTCTTTTCTTCCTCAAGTCATCTCAGAAAACTACTTAAGTACTTAGTCAATGACTTTCAAAACCCATCAAATGTTTGCAACTTGCATAGCATTAAGTTAGATGCAAATGTTTCAACAATGGATGAGGAAATACACTCTGATCTACTGGGGCTTGCCATTGATCAGAGAAGGCAGAATATTAAACAAACAAAATATGTGTGGGGGGGGCTGTGATATAATCCCACAGTGGCTTCATAAACTCTGGATTCTGAATAGCTTTACACGTCGGTGAGCATATGTGATCCAGATGGACTTTGGGATTATCCTTCATTTAAGTCTCTAATTTTCATCCAAATGTTTACCCAAAACATCTACTCCAAAACTACAGACAGTTTTCATATGCCTAGGGGGTTAGTCTGGATAAGAAGACTGTCAAAATAAACCCAACTTCCACTGGGGGCAAAAAAGAAAAAGGAAGAACCTGAAGTGCTAAAGTATTGGTCTGGGAAAAATAGAAATGCAAAGTCATGCATACATGGCAACCCCTTTTGTCCTCCTGGTATCTGTACTTCCTCTGTTCTCTCCCTTAGGACATCTGCTTGGCCTCTCCCACGATGATTCCAAATTTTGTGAAGAGAACTTTGGTTCCACAGAAGACAAACGTTTAATGTCTTCCATCCTCACCAGCATCGATGCATCTAAGCCCTGGTCCAAGTGTACCTCAGCCACTGTCACAGAATTCCTGGATGATGGTCATGGTATGTAGTTTTCAGGGGAACATAGGCTCAGTGTGAAGTGTTCCCAGTCTACTCTAGCTCATCATGCCCATCTTGCCCTCTAAGACAACAGTTGTTGGACAGTGTCAGAGAAAAAAAGCAAGGAAATGGATTATGTCAGGCGTGCAATGCCAACATCCCTGGTGGCATTACATCCATGCTATTTTTTGCTTTTGAATTGAAAAGTTCAAAAGAGAAACAGTGTGGGAGACCACACAGAATGCCTAGCAGCGGGTGCTCTAAAAGCCTGGCTTTTATTCCCTCTTTCACCATGAGTTTCCTGTGAGAACTTTGGCAGACATCTTGGTTTGCCTACTATTAATATGACTCTCATTTGTTGCATGTCTCTTATAGGGGTATGGTTAAGGTATAGATGACAATTCTACTGGATTCTCTTTGTGTCAACCTAAAACCAAGAAAGGAAGCTTTCTAGATTTTCATTGACTACAAGAATATGATTTCATGCTGACAGCAGATTTTCCTGGAAGTAAAATAAAAACAGAAATAGCAAAGCTATGATGGGGAAAGACCAAGAACTTCAAAAGAAAATTGCTGGCTTTAACCTTTAGAGGCAATTCAAGAGCACAGCATACTTTATTAAAGTCTGTAAGTCTAGGATTAGTGCTGTAAGTTATATAAAAGTACAGAGGAAGTCACAATTTCTAGGAATAATAAATCCTACTCCCTAAGTAGTCTTTGAAACAAGCTGCTGCAAATGTCCCATCATCCTTTATTGCTTTCAAATAGTAGAAACAGAGCAACTTAGACATGCTAGAGTTGGAAGAAGTCTTTAGAGATCATACAGTTCAAGTTTCTTGGCTTTCATAAGAGAACCTGTTCTTTCTTCTTCTGCTCCCTAAAACTGGTCTCTTTCTAAAATAGGTGGCTAAATTTTAAATATTTATTATTTATTATTTTTATTTTATGAGTATGCATATATTGCCTGCATGTAGGTAAGTGCACCTGTGTCGTGCAATGCCTGGCAGAGGACAGAAGAGGCTGTCGGATCCTCTCTGTGCTTGGATTCGAACCCAGGTCTTCTGCAAGGACAGTAGTGCTCTTAACTGCTGCGCCATCTCTCCAGCCAGCTATATTTTATATAAGATAAATTCTTCAAGATAATACTTTTCCATAAAGTACTTTATAAATCATGGTTCAAAGTAAGATAAAGAGAGTCTATGATAACTGTCTTTTCCCCCAGTTCACAAAGTTTGTGATTTATACATGCCTCATTTTTTAATGTGTTAGGCATTTTAAACTTTGAGTAAGAGTCCAAAAACTCCAGAAATTAAATTCATTTCAAACAAAGAGAGGTTTGCTACAGAGATTTTTGGTTTCATGTAGCAAAAAAATGGTTTCATTAAGTCATTTTTTCCTAGATTAGTATGAAACTGGTAAATCTCTCATTGCTACTCCTATTTACATTTCATAATCTTAAAAATAAGCTGGATCCAGATTTGTTTAAAATTTCTTCCAGTATCAACAGTGTGGTGGTACATACCTATAAACCCAGCACTCTGCAGGCTGAGACAAGAGGATTCGGAGTTCCAGGACAGACTTGGCTATAGAACAAAACTTTGCTTCAAAAATTAACATAAATAAAAAACAAGTTTTCCTCAATACAAAATAAATGCTTGTTAATGATTGAAAGCACACCCCACATCTCAAAGACTTAGAAACAATATTAAAATTGATATGTCAGGGTGGCTTCCCTTAGAATAAAACACAATAGCAATTCTTTCTAGTTCAGTTTATAGTGCTCCTAGAGGGAATGGTTCGCTAATCATCTTTCTATCAACACTGAACAAGGCACTATCTAAGAAGGCTTCTCTCTGATAGAATATTAACTCCACTCCTGATACTATCTTTACTGTTTTGTTTTTCTGAAATGTAATAGCATTAATATTTTATTTCAGAATCATACATTATACATTCCAAAAGGCTGAGCTAAGCCCTGAGTCACTAAATGAACGGATTTAGTTACTAAGGCAGCAAATTCTTATGGCTAAAACGGGCTTTTCTCCCTGTACAAGTATTAGCTCAACTAATTGCAATGCTGTGCAGAATTTTGTTCCTTTTGCTGTAATTCTGGAATAATTCCTTTATTTCATGTCTGTGGAATTTGTGATCTTACTTTCTGTGCAATAAATGCGCTTTCAGCATTGACTTCAACTTTTCACACTATTGCTGTATTTTAAGAAGTCTGTGCTCTGATTTTCTTTCAATTATGCAACAAATTTACATATTTTTGCATCTGTTTCTATTCAGAAGAGTTTCTGATACAGAGCAATCAAGAAACAGTTGTAATAGGAATAGATCTTAGTCATTTGCATTAATAAAAATTATCTAAACTTCCCAGATGTGTATTCAATAAACAAATGCAATTGCCAGAATTCTTTGGACAGGAAAATGTTTATATTTAATCAAATCTAGTTGTTTTTTTTTTTCACTTATTTGTTAGGACCCCTTTTCATTTTAGCCAAAATGAAAAACTGTAGGTTCTCAGTCACTTCTAATGACTAAAATAATTTAGGAGGCTGAAAGATGAGGAAAGGTTGTTTGGAGGGGGAACAAAGCTCAACCGTGACTCGTTGTAAAAGATAATATAAAGATACAGCATTTACACAGCGTTAAGTGAGAGTTCAAATAACTTGATAACTGTAGTTCTGTCACTTAAATGAGAGTTCAAATAATTTAACGCTGTAATTTTGATTTTTAAAACCTGACAAGTCAACTTAGGTGAAAATATGGTGGTAGGAACCAGCAGGCCCAATAGTTACATGATTAGGGATTTGACATTTAAATTTCAAGCTTAGCAGAGAACCAAGGAGAAACCCAAAGTCCAAGATGATGGAAAAACAAACACACAAACACATCTTTGTTCAAAACCAACAGATTTCATTACACCACATCATAAGCCTTTTTTGATTTTATTACAGAGCATTAGTGGACCAGCCACCCAGGCAACACGGAGTCAGACTTCACAAATTTACTAAGTCCCTCTTCTTTGCTAGTCCACTAAAGCTTTTAAGCAACACGATAGTCATGGGAATGGGGAGGACTACAGACAGGTAAACTGAGGGCAAGAAGTCAGACTTGACAATGAGAAAGAGGCAACAAAATGTAAAATGTAGTCCTAAAACCAAGAATACTATAACTTCTTGTCCCGTTTTTCTAAATGTCAGCAACTGTCTATCTCACTTGTGTTATTCCTAGAGGTTCCTGTGAACATCAGTCAGATACAGGAGAGAAAACTGACTTTTGGTTATTGAGGAAGGTTAAACTGGAACACAGAGAAAGGCAGCAAGGAGTTCCCATGTTTAAGTTGGCATTCTCACAGAATATGTCCAGTGTTTGGACGGTCCCTAAAGAGCATGTGATCTGGAAAGCTGCTTTAGGGTGACATCAACCCCTCCCAGTTGCACCTCCAGCGGTGCTGAAGTGAGGAGATGCTAGTGTAATATTAAACTCAAAGCATTTGATTTATTTTTAAAATTATTAACCATAAGTAGCTGGACATTTGTAGCACTCCAGCACTGCCAGATTTAAATTCATTAGTACTGAGTGTTTCCTGATTTAGGTCCAATGAGAAATATGCAACAATTAGGTTATGGTTGGAAAGCCGAAGTACACACTCAAGAGTAACGCATCTAGAGATCTGTGATTCAGAAAAGGAGTAACCTTGCCTCCTGAGACTCCCCACCCCTGGCCAGGATCCTTGCAGAACTTTTGTATTGTTTTATACAAGTAAGCTGTAGGCAAGCTGGCTAGGAGTATTTGTCTCTGAAATAAGGGTCAGCACCAGTAGAGAAATTGTGCAAGGAAAGCAGGTTATTGAATTTCCTTTCTCAAATGCTTCCTAACCTTGAGGCCAAAATGATAGCTGTTTGAGTCCACTCTGGCAGATGATGACAAAGATCACCATCCGCATGAATACGGCTCTGTGACACGCACAACTAGGGCTCTTAATGGAAATCTATAGACAGGTATGCAAATTAGCATCCATTTATTTAAAGACCTAAGTCTACATCTCTGTATCCTTTATTAATTGTCTAGCAATAAAGACTTAATAGCCAGTTTTAAGGAAATTTTAATAAAATTCAAAGCCCATTTTTGTTCTATCTTGATTTTCACAGTAAATGTATTCATTGAAAATGTGTGCAGATAAGACACTCTAAGGCCAAGGTGAGCTGCAGTTTTGTAAAGCTTTGCTTCCGCCTGCACTGTGGAGAATGTTTAATCTTATTCACTTGCTATTACCTAGTGCTTTCAGCAGTTTCACAGACTTCTAGAATTACTTTTGGTCAACACCTTTTTTTTTTCCTTTAAAGAAGCTCTTGTTTCTTTATCTCTAGTCCCCAAATGACTCCTCAAAGAACATGAAAATGCACTGTTAATGTTAGACACTTGATCAAAGCCTCAAAGAAGAGGTGCAAAGTGAGGGAGCTGAGTGGGCTGCCAGGCCTCTTCACATTCCTCTTGGGGTCAGCAGGCTCCTCCAGACCACAGATGTTTGGATCACTGCTTAGTCTTACACTTGAGCACTAGAAGGGAAGAGCAGACTAAAGCAACAGTAGTGTTAGAACTAGAGAGAAGGAGATGAAGTCTTAAGGAACAAGACCCTTATCTTATAATCTTATAATTCCTACTTGGAGTTGACAGTCCTAGACACCAGAGCCCTTTCTGTCCCATTTCCTAGAGGCAAAGCATATCTTCTACTACCCGTTGGTGGGCTCCAGTGTCCAAGGAGAAACAACCACATTGCTTCATTTGTTCATTTCAAATGATTCCCGTTCACTTTTCCGATTGTTGCCCTTATTTGGAGCATTTAACATTATATATGTGGTAAAAAACACGTATGCCACATGCACACATGAATGCTGACTTTCTCTCATAAATGTTCGGTTTTATATGCACCAAAAGCTACATCAGAGGAAAGGAAGGAAGAAGAGGAAAAGGCAGAGAAGAAGGAACAGGGGAATTTGGCAGTCTGGAACAGACAAAACTAAATATCATGGGAAAAGACCAAACAGAATTTCATGTGACAATAAATTTAAAATATGTGAAGCGGGTTTAAAGGAGTGATTGAAAATAAAAGCAGGACAGATTAGGAAAAATTAGTAGTAATTGGATTCCATTAGAACTCAAAATAAATCATGTGGAAAAAGAGGTTGTTTTCTTCTTAAAATGTCTTCATAATGGCAGATCCATTATTACTTAATTTTTATTTATTTTATTTTATTATGATTATTTTTGGTCTTTTTGAGAGAGGGACTCTCTGTAGCCCCAGCTGGCCTGGAGCTTCCTATGTATACCAGGCTGGCCTAGATCTCACAGAGATCCACTTGCCTCTGCCTCCCAGTGCTGGGATTAAAGGCGTGAGCCACCATGTCTACCTACACTTCATTTTTAAGTAGGGTGTAGTGCTGAGCTTCTGAGTCAGGGTATGTAATGATTTTATTCCCTGGCATAAAGTCACCATGTGGTAGAGATGTCTGTACCTATTTTCCTTCAAAAGGACACTATTCAATATACAAATAAAATTACTAGTGTGTATACTTCAGGGAAAGTAAAGTAAGCGAAAATGAATCCAGCAATGATCCCTAAAGAAAACAGCAATAAGTTAGTGTCAACCATTCCATAAAGGAAATCATTTTACTTTAAATAATAAAACACCACTTCTGTGGGACCTCTGGGGGTAATACATATAGCTAACACACACATTTTTAAATATTGTATTTATTATGTTTTTTCTATGTATATGAGTATATAGCCTGTATATGTGTAAGGGCACCTGTGTTGTGCAGTACCCACGGAGGTCAGAAGAGGGCATTGAATCCCTTGGAACTAGAGAAACAGACAGTTGTTAGCTGCCATGTGGGTTCTGGGAACCAAACCTGGATCCTCTGCACAGCAGCCAGTGTTCTTAATGGTTAAGCCATCTCTCTAGCCCCAGCACACATATTTTTAATACCAAAGGATATGTCTCCTTTATTTTTAAAAACTGTCCTGAGTTAAGTTGTGTAAAAATATGCTACATCTTGATGTCTCCTTATTGAAGGCTGACTCCAAATTGCTGGCAGTCTACATTCCTGCTCTCTCATCATCTCCTGGGAAGTAGGGTGGGTGTCAGTGACTGCATGCCCATCCCAAGGAGGTCAGTTATTTTGGTTCACTATACATAAGGTAGCATCATATATGTGCATCCACACATGGCAAAGACTTCCCAGCTAACATTTAGTTATTCAGCCCTAAAGTCCGTGCTTTTTAGTATATATTATAAAACAGACAAACAAAAACTCTTACGACAGCACTTTTGAAGAACTGGAAAGCATTCTAGCTGATTCAGGGATTTGTTGACAGTGTCCTAACATCAGCAAGCTGCTGGGCCTTCTCGTACACAGCAGTCCTTTTTATGAAGCAATGAAGATAACATTTTTGCTGGAGTCCCAAAGCGCCTGATCTTCCTCTATCCGGTAAAGAAAGCTTAGTGAGGTTTTACTATCATTCTTTCCTATTGACTTGATGTTAATGTTTTCCTTTTAACTTGATGTTTTTCTCCTCAAGTTCTCTTTGGCCGGGTTCTTATTTTTAATGCTTTTTCTGGCTGGCCTTAAGAAGCTTTACCTCTTCAAAAGCTCTGGCTCAGCTAAATGGGAACTTTGCTGTTTTTCATTTTCATATAATGCCTCTATCACAGATGGACATGGAGATGTAAGGTATTCCCTTTGAAGAAACTTGAATGCAGTTGTAAAAATGTTTGCAGCACACTGAAAATGTGCTAAGTAGTCGCTTTCTAGGTGCAAAGTAAGGACTGAGTGAGGAAGATTTTTGTTGCATGAAAAGTGTTAACTAATACAACGAAAAGGTTGCTCAGTTCGAACATAGAAGCAACTAGCATCAATTCTTATAAATCTTCTCTTGTTTTATAACCTTTAAAAACTAATCTGATCTTTACAGTATCATAGTGAGAAAAGAAATATTTTACAGGTTCTGAAAATAAATTTGGAACATGTTAAGTAACGTGGCCAACAGCACATCAACATGTGGTATATCATCAGGATTAAACATTAGACCAGCTGTTTCTAGCAGTAAGCATAAGATCTACCAAATAAGAAATCCTTGCATGTGACAGCCCCTCAGTAACAAAACAAGACAAATATCTATATGCCTAACACAGGCAACGCAGCAGGTCGTGAGGTCAGGCCCTGAGCACAAAGCCCTAATAACGATGTAGCATTAGGTAAGCATCCTATAGTTTAGGATGCCTCAGCTTGTCTGTAAAATGAATAAAATAAGTCAGCTTCCTGGGGTTTTCGTATGTATTAAATAAGTTAATATATGTAAGGAATTCTGAATACATGTGGCAAATGTTTGTTATTATTGCTGTTATAATGGGTATATTGATGATACAATTAAGTGACCCCCCCCACCCAGGACACTAATGAAGATACATGCATGAGTATATGGTAAAGAAAAGGGATGGTTTCAGATCACTGGCAGGTTCCTAGGGAAGAATTTTGAGTGATGGGAGGTATGTTTCAGTCTTTGATTTTACATGATTTGTGTGCGAGCTTTTGTGGCTTTCCCGTATCGCTCCTGCTTGCTTGTCCCCATCCCATTTCCAAGTCAGCAGTGAAGTAAGATTTCCTCTGCTCTGGCTGATACTGGAAATATCCAACAAACTCATGATAGTGTAGACTTAAAAGGAGTAAAGTAGAGAAAGTTTCAAGGACTTTCCTGGTCCTAAGTTACCAAAGACTCTTTCTTTTCTTCTCATCACTCTTTATTCTGTGAATCTTGAAAGCTTTGTAGTACAAATTTTATCAGTCTGAGAGAAATGCTTATTCAGTCTATCTCTTTCACTTTAGTGGAAGCACTTGAGGGGCAGAATGAGATTTGCCCTATTTTTATGTGTTCTTCACACTTAGTACGCTTCTAGAACAGCCTAGAAACATTCATTGAGTGCAAGAATACGTGAGGTACAACCTTGGTTGTTATTAATGGAATGAGTGGCAAGGAGATGGGCCACAGGAATACGTGGAAGAAGTGAGTTAGAAGCAGAGTGGAACGTAATGGTGTCCTGGTTAGGCTACTTCTCTAAGTTGTAAAGGACGTTATTACTAAGAAGTTCACCATCAGATTTCCTCTACAGCCCTCATCATTTCTTTGGCATCTCACCAGAAGGTTGTTTTCAAAACTAATTATTATAACATAGTTGTATAGAACAGTAGCACTGATGGCCTCACCACCTTCATTATAGACACTCCAGAATACATCACCTGTGGAGAATGCTGGAGTCTGATGACATGGTCAGTCTTCATCCTGCTGAGCCCCTTACCCAAGCCACCATACTGCAGACTTCTGGGTTCATCATGTTTTAACACCCCTTAGAACATTTCATTTTTAGGTCCCTGATCATAGTGGTTTAAAACCTAAACCCAGAATGATACTCAATCTTCTTATTCTTTTAGGAAACTGCTTGTTAGACTTACCACGGAAACAGATTCTGGGCCCTGAGGAACTCCCAGGACAGACCTATGATGCCACTCAGCAGTGCAACCTGACGTTTGGGCCTGAGTACACTGTGTGTCCTGGCATGGATGTCTGTGCCCGCCTGTGGTGTGCTGTTGTGCGCCAGGGCCAGATGGTGTGTCTGACCAAGAAGCTGCCTGCAGTGGAAGGGACGCCCTGTGGAAAAGGCAGAATCTGCCTGCAGGGCAAGTGTGTGGACAAAACCAAGAAAAAATATTACTCAGTGAGTGGCTTTCTTGTCACCTAAAGCCTAGAGACCCAACACAGGAACTACCTTCCTGGGATGTGCATAGTGATTGTTATTAGAGGCCTTTGTTTCCTTTAATGATCTATTCAAACTTCATCTCTCACCTTCAGTAATCCCTTCTGGTAACCAAATACTACTTGACAACATGCAGATGAAAGAGATTTCTTCAAAAATTATAGCATTACACAAATAAACCCGAGTCTGCCCGATTGAAACTCAAAGCACAGCTTCTGCGCTTATCTCTTGGAAACTTCCTTTTAAACTCTTCTTGCTAATGCACTAAAGAAATAGTCTCAGAGCTGACACTACCATATTTGCTTGTATTTGGCTGGGTCCAAAATCGTCATTTTTTCAGTCCAGCAAGCTCACATAACCCTGGATGCTATGGTAGCTTGGAGGTTGCTCAAGGAAACACATCCACAATGCAACATATAGTCCAACTTCAGATTGGCGTGTTCTCCTTAACCCCAAATCCACATCATAGTATGTGTTTGGTCTTACTTGCAGGATTTGACAAGACCTGTAAGAGGGTTTCCATGTGTCCTTTAAGTGTTTCTGACCAGATATCCCTACACAAGGAGCTGCCAGCTCTTGTTCTTTTGCAGAAATAGCTTGTACTGTTAATCTTGTGTGATCTCTGCGATTCCTACTATACGGTCTCCATAGGAGGAAATCTAGAGTGGGGTCACAAGGCTCTCCTTTCCTTGTGGGGTGTGTGGACACGTAGGTTGTAGGTGCCCTTCATTGTCTGTCACATTAATTGGGAGTTTAGGCAAGACCAGCCCGAATATGTTCAACGAATGGAGCAGAGAATTTATCAGGATGTGGGAGGTCAATGAAGGAACCATGGAATTTTAAGGCTAAAGAGAGAGAAAAAGATGTAAACCCAATCAGTGACCAACATCAAACAAAACCATCAGCATTATACATTTCATTACTGGTCCAAGATAAAAGCCCACAGACGTTCAGCAGTGCTCTGTGGTTATAAACAGAGTTGTACCATATCAAAAGGCAAAATTTAAAAGGACCAAGAAAGCCACGCTCAGCAGTGCACACCTTTAACCTCAGCACTCATGGGACAGAGGCAGGCCCATCTCTGTAAGATCAAGATCAAGGTCAGCCTGTTCCATATAGTGAATTCCAGGTCAGATGGGGCTACAAGGAGACTCTCTCTTAAAAAGACCAAAATAATAATAGTAATAATAAAATAATAATAATAATAATAATAATGAACCAAAGAGAACATGATGCAGTCTTTGTCATATGCAAATTACTTAATGTGACAGTTAAGATCCTGTACTGATGAAAGCACAGACTTGGAAAAGCTGAATTGTTTAGCTAGGGAATGGGTTGCAGTTCCACAATCAAAGCATATACATATCCACTTCAGTGAATGTTTGACTCTGTCTTCAAGCTTCTACTGGGTTGTTACAAGGTGATTGCCAAGGTATATATTGAATATTTTTGCTCTCTAACTTTAAATATTTCCCATTTTCTATTTCAGACATCAAGTCATGGCAACTGGGGGTCCTGGGGTCCCTGGGGCCAGTGTTCTCGCTCGTGCGGGGGAGGAGTACAGTTTGCCTATCGCCATTGTAATAACCCTGCACCCCGAAACAGTGGTCGCTACTGCACAGGGAAGAGGGCCATCTACCGCTCCTGCAGCGTAATGCCCTGCCCACCCAATGGTACGCTGTCCCCAGGAGCCAGTAACCATATATGTCATGTGTAATCCATATTCCAGCAGAAATAAATAAGGGTTCCTGGAGAAATAGCATTAATCTCACATTGCATAGTTCCCCTAATGTGTAAGTTAATAACATATGTATGAGCTATTTTTAAAATATCACAAACAACAGTGTGTCTGAGGAACTGGAAGAAAATAATACTATTTAAAATTGTATATGTACATAAAATATTTTGACCCTGGTGCATAAAGAAGCTCTACAATACAAAATCATTACTATTCTCCCTTAAAATTAAGTATTTATATACACAAAGTTAAAACCTAAAAACAGATAACGTAGGACTGTCATATGTTTTACTTCCCAGGTAAATCTTTTCGTCATGAGCAGTGCGAGGCTAAGAATGGCTATCAGTCCGATGCAAAAGGAGTCAAAACATTCGTAGAATGGGTCCCCAAATATGCAGGTGTCCTGCCAGGAGACGTCTGCAAATTGACCTGCAGAGCCAAGGGCACTGGCTACTATGTGGTTTTTTCTCCAAAGGTAACTACACTCCCATTGTCCAGAACAGTAGGCGTGTTTGGTAGAAATTATTTCACAAATGAAGGCTGTAGATGCCAGATGGAAACAGTTATTATTCTCAGGACCATTAGATTTGGGGCAGATTTTATTTTCATCTCTGTAATTCCTATACTTTCAAACTTTTACAATGGATTAAACACATTTTTAAACAGAACAAGTAAATGTTCTGAAATGTATTTTTGGAAAAGTTTAATTCACTGTACAGGAAGAGGAACTATGACCTAACTTCAATAGCCCAGAGAAGAACTTAAGTTTCCTACATACGCTTCCTAAGAGAACTATCCAACCAGGAAATTTCTGGGTTTTCTATCTCATTTACTTAAGAATACAGATTCAGTCTTGGAGATGGGTTTCAAGGCCAATGTCTCTGTCCTTAAATTTAGAATAAGTTTAGATACTCAGCATGAATCAGTCTTTCTAGTTTAAGCTACAATATGTGTGTAGTATTCATTATTTTTCACAGATGAGCATTTTCTAATTATATTGGAGGAATTTTTCCAGTATTTTTGTATCATGCAGCAATTTCCAGATAGTTTATCTAATTTTAAAACATATGCCACACTGAAAACCCCTCTGAAACTGGTCTTCAGTTCTCTCTGTATAACTGTATCTCTGTATATTACAGTACTGAAAAACAAGCCAATCTCATTTATGCAAATTTTAATATTTAATTATGACAATGAATTTTCCTTGAAAATGTTACAGAGAAATAAAAAGAAAATTCTGGAATATAACTACATAAAAATTATTAATTTGTTGAATATCATTCAACTTCAGCTTACAAATAAACACATAAATTCACTCACGTTTCAAAAGAGTTTTGTACATATATAAATTCAAAAACGCATGTTTATATATGTGAATTTGTACACTAACCTACAAGCTGCAGTTTATGTACCTGCTGTGTTTTAACTGGCTCCCAAACAGTGGCATATATTGTTTCCTTTATTCAAAATTAATTATTCAGTCTCTTTTCACACCTACTTTTCTGAACTCCACAGATGCTGTTTTCCACACCAATCTGCTTTTCTCTATTTTGATGCCTGAAGGTTCAATGCACAATTAGGAATGCTTTTCAACCACTTCATGGTTGTGATTAAGTTTAAATTTTCAAAGTTGTTGCTATGCTAACGGTTATGCAACAAAGAATCCTTGTGTTCTTAAGCCTCCATATAATCAAATCTCTACAGGTGATAGCCACCCGCCATCAAAGTGAAAAGATTTTTATCAATGTAAACAGCCAAGGTGATACTGTGGGAATGTGTTATGCATACAAAAATGAAATTAGTAATGTATGGGCACTGTCAGAATGTAGAGTAAAGACTACTTTTCCCAGACTAAGTTGTTTTGGGCATGATTACATTAATGAGTTTGATTCCAAGTACAGTATAGCTAGAATTGAGCATAACAGGGAAATTTTCGAACATGAAAAATGAGCTTTACAAATTAAAACAAGACAATACAAAATTTCAATTTCTAAATAGCAATTACCCCAAACAGTGAGTGTCTGCAGAAGCAGTAATCTTAGCTCTACGAGGGGAATTATTTTAAAGTCTCTAGTACAAAGGACAGTAAACGATGTGTTAGGGAGGCATTAAAAATATCTCAGGACTAAAGATTTCAAACGTCTGTCTTTCTGTATCTATATGCTGCCCAACTTGTTGCCAAAATGGAACTACAATCAGATTCCTTCCAACCCGAGGCTAAGACAGGCCATGTTGTTTTTTAGGGAAACTGCACGTCATGAAGGTGACTTTAAAATTAGAATAAGAAAATCAAAGTGTACAATGATAGGCCACTTTTCCTTTTCCACTGTAATTTGGTTTGATCTTTGAAGATCTTTGTCTTATATCATTAGTCTCAGATTCCTGAATTATTCCTGTTTTGCTAATATGGCCAAGAATACATGCTGTTGCACAATTAAGACACAAAGATGTTATATAGAAGAACCTTAGGGCTCTGGTTCCTCTGTATTTATGGCAAAATACACTAATGGTGGGACAGAGTTTGGATATGGGTTGTGCTTTCTTACATGATTCCTAAATCACTATTTTATTGTTGTTGTTGTTGTTGTTGTTGTTTAGTTTTGATACAATTTACAGCTATGGTAAGAAGACTGCCACAAGTCAGCCCTGGCTCAGGTGTGGTCTTTAGTTTCAGAAAGTCCATCAGTCATGTAGTTGGCTGTCATTGCTAAATCTGTTGCTTGCAGAGGCCTCAGAGCACTGGGTGTGCAGAGTAGAGTCCTCACCATTTAAGCTCTTCCTATATACAGGGCATGATGACAACCTATGTTTTAAGATTTGATTTTAAATATATATGTGGGTATGTGGGTATATGTGAGCAAGTGCAGATACTTGAAGAAGCTGCGGTGTTGGGTCCCTAAGGGGCTGGGGTTACATGAAGCAGTGAGCTGGGAACTGAACTCAGGCTCTCTGTGAGAGCAGTACATACTTTTAGGCACTGAGTCCTCTCCAGCCGCTCTCCACCCTCATTTATTTTTGAATGTATATTTTATTCCAATCAAATTGAAAATTCACAAATTAGAACTTGCTCTTCTACTAAAGAAACGGAACCCCAGAGCCCAGATGTTCCCTGATATCTTTGCTGTGTGCAGGTGACTGATGGGACCGAATGTCGTCCGTACAGCAACTCTGTGTGTGTCCGTGGAAGGTGTGTGAGAACTGGCTGCGATGGCATCATTGGCTCCAAGCTGCAGTATGACAAGTGTGGCGTGTGTGGAGGGGACAACTCCAGCTGTACGAAGGTCATTGGAACCTTCAATAAGAAGAGGTAATATGACAGTGCCACAGCCCTCATGTGGGCTGAACAAAGCTTTAGACTCCTGTGAAAATGATACGGGCTCTGGCGTTTCCTCATCAACTCTTTGCAGGAGGAAGACTACTGTGGCTTTTGTAACACATTCTGCATGTGAGAAGGGAAGAAGAGGTGAATAGAGCTCTGTGGTTGGGTGGCAACTCTTGGTGCTATGGGAAGCAGATAAACTGCAACAGACTTTGAATCAAGAGCTTCCAATCAGAAAAGAAAAAGGTGGACAGCATTCCATGTGTCACACTGTACAGATCTGTCATTCCTAAAACCTCGTTTAGGAAAGCTTGGCTGGTTTCACCTTAGCTAATTTTTAAAATATTTATAATTTATTTTGAAAAGAATTTCATACATGCATAAAATATATTTGATCATATCCACCCTGACTCCTTCCTCCAACTCCCCCTGGATACCTCCAACATGCCCCTCCCAACTTCATGTCTTATTTTATTTTTATTAGTCTTTGAGACAGGGTCTCCCTGTAACCCCAGCTGGCCTGGAACTCACTATGTAGACCAGGCTGGTCTTGAACTCACAGAGATCTATCTGCCTGCCTCTGCCTCCCGAGTGCTGGGACTAAAGGCATGTGTCACCATATGCCCTTCCACGTCTTATTTTTTAATGACCCACTGAATCCAATTTGGAAATTTCTTTTGGTTTTCATTCTCTCTGCCTTTCTACATTGTTTTGTTTTTTAATTCATTGTTACCTACTTGTTTATGTGTTTATTCTTTTTTTTTAAACATATTTATTGAGACAGGACTTTGCTATGTAGTCTAGACCAGTCTTAAACTTTTGTGATCTTCCTGCCTCCATCCCCTAAGTGCCAGGGTTATGGGAGTAAGCCATTAATCCATGCACCCTTTGGTATTTTTATAGTGAAAAAAGTTTGCCTTACAGTTTGCCTTAAAGTTTTCTCCAGAAAAAAATTTCTCCCTGCAAAATATAAGTTGATTGAAGTGCTGTGGCGACAATACTGTTTCAGAATGAACTGGTCTGGTTTCTCTCTACTAGATAAGGACAGACACACAGCAAAGTCTCCTGTTCCTTCACTTTGACTTTAAACATATGAGGGTATAAATTACCAGTTTCTGGCATCAAATAGAATGTTGTCATCAGGAACATGGTTGACTTAGCTAAAGAGTCAGACAGACGACAGAATTACTTTTCTTCTTTGAAAAACTTTTCAAATGCTACGTGACATGGGTTGAGGATACTTGCATTCCTGATTTAGGTGCTGTGTCCTCTTTGACTTAACAGTGATCTTTAAAAGTACTAGTACCGTATTACTTTAGAAAACTGGAAATTATGTTTGATTATTAAAATGCATGACTGAAGAATTTATTTTGAGTTAGTTTGAATTGCTAATATTACTTGCTGATAAACTAAGAATCATTTGACTGCGTTGGACCATCTATGTGAAAACACTGCATATCTAGTTATATATTGCATTTTTACACATTTCAAATATGTGTGACACCTTATAGATTATCACCTCAAACTTTTGATTTTAGGACTTGAAGATTTAAGACTTACCTAATTCATCATGGAAGGTAACTGCCAACGAAGAGCAGAGACTATAACTGAGGTCACAGCATGGGCAGGGCCTTCTGCAATATTACAAAAGAAAGGGAGAGAAAGAGGAAGAAAATAAGTACAAAGGAGGAAAAGGAAGTAAAGAGAGAGACAGCAAGAAAAGGGGCGGTGAGAAAGGCAGGACAAGAGAAAAGGAGCTGAAAGTAGGTAGAGAAGGAAGAGAAAGTCAACAGACAAAATAACGGCAACTAGATGAGAAATCAGATTCTTTGAAAGCACTACCTCACACTCGCTGCCTTTTGTGTTCTTCTCCATAAAATTATAAACCATTTAAAAATGCTAAACAGAACATTTGAAGTGTCTGTACCAGTGATTAATATACCCTCACTTGAAGTCACATGAAATGAAGAAATGACAAAGACAGTTGGTGCCTATGAAATCCCGACCCCCGTCCACCCTGTTTTATAACAGTTGAATGAGTCAAGAGCTAAATGCCAGCTTTTATACCCAGCACCACAACCAAAGAGCTCTGCAGTGATGTTTGAAAATTTACTCTATTCCTGTTTCATATTCTTCAGTATAAAAATGTAACATTATCTCCAAGTATTTCTGGCCTTGAAGCCCTTGTAGGTATGTGTATCATCTATTGGTATTATATAATAACAAAAACTTTTGTGGAACAAAGTCTTATCCATAATGTGTTAAATAATGTTACAAAATAAAAACAGTGAATCAAGCTAGACAGAATAAGTAATGCCCGGTGTAGCTCCTCTGCTCTCCCTCAACACTGCCAGAGGCTCAGACACCTGTGACAGACACTGTAGCTCAGGTACCTCCTAGACACCAGACTGTCTCAGGGATGAGCTCCCTCTCTAAGTTACAGAACATGCACTTGAATGTTGAGTATATGACCTTTAACCTTGAATAACAATTAGAAATTACATTATATTTAATTTTACAGATGTCAGTCCAACTGTACATGCAGTGGTATTTCTATTTGGATAACTAAAATAAATTTGAAGTCATATTAAATAATAAGATATCTTTAGGCCTTATTGTGAACCCACTTGTGAAGGCAAAGACTTTGATAAGAGATGACGCCTTCTCATTGCTATCATTTTTAGTGGTGTTTAATTTGCGTTTCTCCTAGCATCCACCACAGTTTGATGGGTATTAAGAGATATTTTTGCCTTTGCTCCCTCTAAGCACATGATACATCTGCAGAGATCTGCTTTATTTTTATACCCACTAAAATGCCTTATTAAATTTATCATACTTTTGCATGGAGACTAAGCATTCAGAGAATTTCATAAGGTATTGAAATTAAGTTTTTTAGGAAAGTAGTAAGTCCTCATCACATAGCTACCAAATTTACCTTCATTTAACTTCCTGCCCATAACATTGATTAAAGCTTTTAGAAACAGAGCCTCTATTTCTGCTGCATCCAAATGACCAAAGAACTAAATTTGTGCTGATGCCAGTGAGTGCACCAGAGTAGTATGAAGAGTCTTAGAATGGAGCCTGCAAAGATTTAACAAGCCAGGGGGGCATCATAGGCTTTGGAATCACTGAAATATCTCCTGGTAATACCAACATCGAGTTAGAGAAATATTAAAATATTCCTGAGATTAACTGAGGGTATATATGTCCATTTGTGTTTATCTGAATCCCATCTTGTGCCTGGAAAGTGATAAAGTATCTTTGTAAAGGCTGTGCATTTTGATGAAGCTGGAAATTATTATATGAAACTTCAAATGAAGTTAGTACAAATTTTAAAATAAAGGAGGTTTGTAGCATCACCCTTTTTGAATATATCAATAAAACAGATATAATAGCATACTACAATTTTAATTTGTTTCATGAAAAATTGCAAAGAATTTCAATGTAAGCTCTTAAATTACATTAAAGCTTTGTGTTTAGATGAGGGAACACTTTAAGAAAATTTCTCTTTATTCATGGATAAGCATGAATTAATTTACTATCCTCTTCCCTTTCTTCTCTCACCTCCTACGTGGACATTCCTGCTTCCAGTAAGGGTTATACTGACGTTGTGAGGATCCCAGAAGGGGCAACCCACATAAAAGTCCGACAGTTCAAAGCCAAAGACCAGACTAGATTCTCTGCCTACTTAGCCTTGAAGAAGAAGAATGGTGAGTATCTTATCAATGGCAAGTACATGATCTCCACGTCAGAAACCATCATCGACATCAATGGGACAGTTATGAACTACAGCGGATGGAGCCACAGGGACGACTTCTTGCATGGTATGGGCTACTCAGCCACAAAAGAAATTCTAATTGTACAGATTCTTGCAACAGACCCAACTAAAGCATTAGATGTCCGCTACAGCTTTTTTGTTCCTAAGAAGTCCACTCAAAAAGTAAACTCTGTCATTAGCCATGGCAGTAACAAAGTGGGATCACAAACTCCACAGTTGCAGTGGGTGACAGGCCCATGGCTGGCTTGTTCTAGGACCTGTGACACGGGCTGGCACACCAGGACGGTACAGTGCCAAGATGGGAACCGGAAGTTAGCAAAGGGATGTCTTCTCTCTCAGAGGCCTTCTGCATTTAAGCAATGTTTGCTGAAGAAATGTTAGCCTGGGCCTTTGCTTTCACACACACAGGCAACTGGAGGAACTATCATAGATACGTGGACAACCCAAGGTCTACCCATCTGCAAAAAACTTCATTCTTCCATGTCATTATCACCAGGAGTCAAATTATGGGCAGAATCTGCTCTCTGTAATCAAAAGATGCTCACTGCTTCTTGTCACAATGGTGAGCTTGGAACACAGAAAACCTGGGAGTTACTGAGCGTCCCCTGGGCCTACGAAAAACAAGACACATAGTGATGAATGTAGAAGCAGGGACATTTAAAGATGGCGGAACAACTTCACCTACCTCTTATATAATGTCTTCAAGGGCATCTCCATCCTTTTCACCCATATAAAGTGACCCCTTAGGATGTCACTTTATATATACTTGGTTCTATTAATATATATGTATATATACATA